TAGGGGGGGAGAGGAGGAGAGAGACACCGACCAACGCTAGGGGGGGAGAGGAGGAGAGAGACACCGACCAACGCTAGGGGGGGAGAGGAGGACAGAGACACGACCAACGCTGGGGGGGAAAGAGGGATGAGACACCGTCTGACGCTGGGGTCACGTAAAAATCTCCTCAGCCAAAAAGGGGTCACAAGTGGAAAAAGTTTAAGGCCTGCTCCAGACAAAGTCCGTCTGCCCTATTTAGTAAAGTTCCATCAGCTTTTTCTTCTTTAAGTACAGTCAATGAAAACACATTGCAATAACATGATCGACCCAGACCATGCATCTACAATGTGCTGCCCATGTGTGAGGTGTTACCACGACAATGACCTTGTGAAATCTCTGCAGAGGTCTGACACAGCCCCTACTGAGTCAGACCTATGGCTCTGCAGTTAGCAAAGCTCATGCTCCCAGCTAATTTAGAGGGTTCCAGTTCTAGATCATTAGGGGGTATGCTTAACTTCCCCACTGGTTCCACACAGAGAGCAATAGACCTTCTCTAGCAGGGGACAGGCTTTTTATACTCAGCCTGTGATTGTTTTCTAAAGATATCCACTGAAAGACTTTGTACACCTTTAGCTAAATTAAACTAAAAGTTCAGTTGGGCCCATATGTTGCTGAACATATGTATTGAAGGTAAATCCTCCAATAGGGACACCAGTTCTGGTGAAAGCTCTCTAAGAGGGAATCCGCCTCACTGTAGAGAGTTCCTTTCACTTCCTTTGGCCTTTTTTGGGATGCTAAAATATGTTGCAGGCTGCCTAGCAACAAGTGAAGCTGGCTTCCTAGCCATTTAGGAAGCCATGAGGCGGGTCATGATTGGCTAGAAAGGCGACTTCATGCTCCCTCGCGGCACTGCCGGTCAGAGGGAGATCTCCCTCTAACCGGACGTTATAGTATCGGGGTTAAGTATCGGACATTTGACTCGGTAACAGCACCAATACTACTATCGATATCGGTGCATCACTACTTTTAACCAATCCCCACTACTATCCAAGACAAAGAAAAAGGTTTGGGCTATATATACACTTATAATAGCATATCAAGTATATTACAGATTGGAATTTCTTGGACTTTTCTGCTGTTTTACGACAACATAGAATAAGCTAAATTTCCGCTTTAATATTTGCTATATATATAGAGAGTTGATGATTTTGCTCTCCCGTCTTATCATCAATATTGTAAAAAGAATGGAGCCTCACTTATGGTAAATATGATTTACTAGAGGAAGCACGTGTCTTTTTCCTTTCAGATCTGCTCTGTCCAAACATTCAATGAAATATTTATCCACGTCTGACCCTCCGCCTCCATGGAACTGTCTAGGTGCCCGTTCTGTAAATGAGTTTGTTTGCTGTATGCAAGGAGCTGTAATGACATTTGGAATAGACGGGCAGAGTAACCGAACGGTCTAATGTAATTGTCCTTTCAAATCAAGGCTTTGTCTATCTCCGGAGCCAGGCATACAGGCTCATTATCTCATGCTTAGAGAGTGAAATGGAAAATGAACATCATGCGAGGAGTATATTATGCCAAGCAGGCAGCTGGCTCCGGCGGGCAGACACACAGTAGATTTAATGTTTTATTTTATTTTTTGGGGAATTGCCTGCCGAAACAGATGAAGAATGATATGGTGGGAGGGATAGGGAGGGCAATACCCCATCAGTGGGCGGAGCTGGGAACTCAAGTGCAGAGATCTTTCTGCTGGAGTTCCTAATAAGCCAACATGCCAAACCAGTGGCAGAGTTACTAAGGGGCCCATGTATAGGACCAAATTCCCCCTTCCCCCATTACACTGTTGGCCAATTTAAAACACTTATTCACTTTGTATGGCCTAACAGTTAAGGTGCCCATACACCTTACGAATATCTGCCGATTTTCGTATGTGATCGCGTTTTCGTCCGATATTCGTAAGGTTGATGGGCAGTTTACAACCGCAAATACAGAACAATCATACGACTCTTGACTAACCAGCAGGTTAGAAAATTTTGGTCGATCGTACGATTTTCGCAAGGTTGGTGACGTTTCCGTACATCAAAATTTGTATGATTTACACTGCACATGCGCAGACGAAAATACGTGCAGTCGATTACCGTAATTCGTACAGGTGCTTTCTTTTAATTACTGCTGATCCAACCTTGCGATAACCGGCGCAGGATGGGGCCGCCGTACGAAAACCGTACACCGGCCCGTTCAGGATTTGTCTTACGATTTTCGGCAGGTTTTCCTTGCTCGGAAGACAAAAGAAGTGCAACCGTACAGTAGAAACGGTCGCACGCCTTCCATACACCTGCCGATTATCGTACGATCGCAGGATCACCTGCGATTATCATACGATAATCGGCAGGTGTATGGGCACCTTAGATCTACGTGAAAGTGGGAGGGGTCCCGGCCCCCACCTGACCCACATCTGATTTAAATTGGCCCCTAAGTCCCTCGCACAAATAATATGTCTTTGAAGTTTTGGCTTAGCTGACCTTTAGGTAGCACCTGTAATCAATCAGTGAACTGCTAATGTTATTTAAGAAATTGTTACTGTTAATGTAATCAAGCCATTGATTGGCCAAGATCCCATATGTGCTACTTGGTGCTTCTGCTATTTTGCTGACCTTTATATTCACAGTGCTTGGGGGAAAAAAGTGTTCTCAGAACTCCAGACTATCAGCAACAAATCATGTTTTATTAGTTGTGTGGTTGAAATAAGATCTCCGGGATAATCAAAAACTTTCCCTAGAACAAAATGAGCACTTAACCCTTGCAGTGTTAAGGTAGCCCCGCTGCAAGTGTTAAGTGCTTTTCTTGTATAGGGGACCCGAATAAAGCACATTTACTTACCTGATCCTTGGTCCGGACTGCTAGACCAGTCCCCACAGCCTCTTCTTCTCTGGGCTCTGGCGGTCTAAGGTTCAATGATATCATCATCTCTAATATAGGTTCCATAGATCTGCATTAGATGTGGGGACGCTGAGGGGCACTGTACCAACCGGTGTGGAGGGGGAGAAGAGGAGAGCGCTGGCCTTGGGGACCAGGTAAGTAAATCTGCTTTACTCCAGCCCCTAGAAAAAACAAGTACTTAACCCTGGCAGTGTGAGGGTAGCCCCACTGCAAGGGTTTTTAAAAAATAGATTTTTCTCCTGGAGATCCGACCTCTAGCAGTGATGCCCCTTTATAGAGTATTGGGTCCGTCTACCAGGACCATGACCAAATAGGCAGCAAAAAAAAAAAGGGGTGATCTAGCCAAAAAGGGAGTGGCCAGGTCAAGCGGTCATTAATGGAACGGGACGGACAGGTTTGTGCGTGATTTCGTTAAAAGGTACAAAAATTGGTAAAATTGGTACAAAAATCTCAAAAAGGAAGAATGTGAACACCATCATCAATTCACTATCAACAAGTTAAAAATGACACACATTGTCTGCAGACTTCAAACATACTCTAGTTGGAATTAAAGGATTAGTGCCATGGAGGAGTTATGAGCATGGACAGTTATCTTACACTGGGTTCCATTTACCAAGAAACAATTAATTTGCCTCTTCTGAACTGAATTGTTACAGAGTGCATAACTCCCTACATCTTTCATTATTTTTGTGTTCTGTGGCATTATTTTTTGACTATCGGGTTCTGTGATAGAGAATTTCTGACCAGATGGTCTTGAATAGGATGGTCCAAATTATACAGGGTGGCAGCCTGTTCGTGTATAGCTGTGACCACATACACACAAGGGATGGAAGGTGCACATCATTCACCTCAAGGGAATTAAAGGACGAACATCTCTTGGATGCGGGTTGGCAGCCAAGGCAGTGTGAGAGCCCTATACTCCCCCTTTCACCTGTGTTGTATCTGATGATATATACTAATACTATATGTGGTTAACCCTTTCAACTAGAGTATGTTTGAAGTCTGCAGACAATGTGTGTCATTTTTAACTTGTTGATAGTGAATTGATGATGGTGTTCACATTCTTCCTTTTTGATATTTTTGTACCAATAAATACCTTTTAACGAAATCACGCAGGCTCCCTTTGGGCTGCTAGAACAGTCCTCACAGCTTCTCCTTCCCTGGGCTCCAGTGGACTAAGGAACGCTGATATCATCATGTCTTATGCAGGTCCATTGACCTGCATTAGACATCATGACTCTGAGGGACATTCCATAGCCGGAGCGGAGACAGGTGAGCACTGACTACCAAGGGACCAAGGATCAGGTGAGTAAAACTGCTTTATTTGAGTTGTTGCTTTATTTGGGGAGCCTCACTGCAAGGGTAAGTTATTGATTTTTCCAGGAATTCTTCTTCAAGGAAATAGAACTATTCCTTGCTAAAACGGGCTCCTGGACAGGTATGCTGTATTGCCTAATTCATTAATAGTAGTTAATGCCTAATAGTAAGTAATTCAAGCATCAGTTTTCAGTTTGGTGGTATGTACCAAGAATAGGTCCACTTTAGGGATGTTCAGATACCAGTGCAGATACTTTTTCTTCAAGAACTACCAGTGTTGCAGAGGTTGCAGTTGGGACCTGGTGCTCCACCACTGTCCTGAAATCATTAGTCTGTATTGTTTTAGAAAAACTGTCACATGACAATAAACAAAAGTGTACCAGTACTTGTACTTGGAAAAAATGGTATCGGTGCATCCCTAATATATATTTATAAAAAAAAAAAAAGAAACATACATTAAAACAGAGATGTACAAATCCCAGGAGCCCTGTATGCTTCCTAAAAATGACAGCTGCCTCCTAACTTTTGAATTTTTCTCTAGTCTAGTCTTGGAAAAATGGAAAAGTATCTGTACTTGTACCAAGTACGGTACTTGGTATCTGAACATCCCTAGTCCACTCAAAAGTGATTGGTCAGTTTTAGATTGGGTCCAGCAAGTATGACCACCCAACAGGCTTCTTTAAGTCTGTATGACCAGGCAGGAGAATCCCAACCCTACAAAATGTCTGGGTTCCTGGCTTCTCTCTTCTTATGCAACATACCTCACTGGGCCTTATACTGAGTGGTGTGATCACTGCCCCCCATGCAGGATCCTTTATAGGGTTTTTGAAGGATCCAGCATAGTACAAAACCGGCCAGTCCAGACCTTTGTCCAGGCCCCAGTTTTAAAAAGCCGGCAGCAAATGAAAGCATTCAGTGAGTGCCTAATGTCCTCCAGCAACTGTACTTTAGCAATATTTGGAAGTGGAGAGGAAGTGCTGGACCTGTGTGGTTATTCTCTTGGTGTTTCTCATCCCATAATGGTAAAGTGGTGTGAATATGTGTAATCTGGCTGATGGGTAGGCAGCTTCCACAAGCCAAAGGATCTTCACCGTATCCTTGGCACGACAATGAACACAATAGATGTAGAAATTGAAGGGCCGCATCAATTAAATAGTCCAGATACATATTTATTCCAGGTCAGGGGGCATTCATGTAAAGTAGCCAACAGGGTCCAAAACACATATAGAAGTGCAATACTTTGATGGATGTTTTTATTATTTTGTTATACTCATCTAATTTCCATGTGCTGCCGGACATTTCTGATGTATCAACTAAGTTTCAATCTTATGCAGTAATTTCTTATATATATATTCCTGGTGTTCCCTTGTGTTTTACCCTAGCCCTGATGAAGGGGGTGTGTATTGGACTCCCGAAACGCATTGGCTGCTCTACTTGAATCTCTCCTGACCCTAAGCGACTAAAATTGTATCTGGTCTATTTTCATTTTATTTTTGCTTTCTTTTATTTGGTTGCCCCCAACCTGCTGAATGCCGCCCACTTGGTGTTATACTTAGGAAATAATATAATTGTCTTCTTATTTATTTATCACGTGCTGTCAGTTTTCTGTTTTTTAGCTCATCCCGGGAGCAGAGAAAAGCAACTCCTCAGAAAGGAAGTGACGTGTATTGCCAAGCCTCAGGCGTTGGATGACTTCTTGCTCTCGGGTCCTCTGGACAGATTACATGTCCATCAAAGTCACATGCACAAGTAAGTCTGTTTCAATGGAGACAGGCGGTCTAGAGTCTCCTGATAACATTTAATCTTGATAAATGGTTTGCAAATGAGAAATCTGAACGGTGTCTGCACTATACTGAGTCTTCTTTTCACTGGCAAACCCAGTGCAGGGGTCAAACTTAAAGAGGTCTATTTATCAATAATTCATAGAGCCATTTGTTAATATGTCTGCGAATGTTCATTCTGTGCAAATAGAGACAAAAATTAACATTCTTAATATACTTTTCTTTTCAGGTTGAATGTAATGTAATGTAACACCGCATTATGGCCACTAGATGGAGCTGAGGAGCATAGGAAAGAAATAATTATGTCCTACATTCCTCAGTGTCATCTAGTGACCACAATGCAGTGTTACATTACATTACATTCAGCCATTTTTGCCTCTATTCGCACAGAACGGACATCTACAGAGATTCGCGGGGCAAATGGGATTGTGTATTGTAAGTGTATTTCCACTTTTGCAGTTAAATTTAATAAAAACCCTCTATATGTTTGTGTTCATATTCACACAGCATACATAAAAATTGCTAGGAGGTAGAGCAGCGAGAGCTGAGCTGCTGGGTCACTTCTGAAAGGAGAGTGCAGGGTGAGCTGAGCTGCTGAGTCACTACTGGGATGGATGGAGGGATCAGAGTGAGCTGAGTTGCTGAGTCACTACTGGGAGGGAGGATCCGGGTGAGCTGAGCTGCTGAGTCACTACTGAGAGGGAGGGATCAGAGTGAACTAAGCTGTTGTGTCACTATTGGGAGGAGGGAGCAGGGTGAGCTGAGATGCTGAGTCACTACTGGGAGGGAGGATCAGGGTGAGCTGAGCTAGTGTGTCACTATTGGGAGGAGGGAGCAGGGTGAGCTGAGCTGCTGAGTCACTACTGGGAGTGAATATCAGGGTGAGCTGAGCTAGTGAGTCACTACTGGGAGGAGGGATGATAAGGGTGAGCCGAGCTGCTGAGTCACTACAGGGACGATAAGGGTAAGCTGAGCTGCTGCATCACTACTGGGAGGGGGATGAGGGTGAGGAGATGGCATCACTACTGGGAGGGGGGGATCAGGTTGAGAAGGCATCACTACTGGGAGGGGGAATCAGGGTGAGCTGAGCTGCTGAGTCACTACTGGGAGGGAGGATCAGGGTGAGCTGAGCTGCTAAGTCACTACTGGGAGGAGAGAGCAGGGGGAGCTGAGAAGAATGACTTTACAACTACTGTGAACTCTGAGGATTTTTTGCTCCACAGTGCCTGCAGCAAAGGCTTATTTTACAGCCTATTTACTGACTTTTAAGAATGTGTTAATACTTCATTAGTCCACATTTTAAACTTTAGACTGGAGTCACAAAGAAACTAAAGCACCCCCACCCTACCACACCCATTTATGTACTGGTTAACAAAATTATATTTTTTTAGGAAATGAAGCTAGCCCAAACACATAATACACCCCGTTCAATCCCAGACATTGCATGTCAGCCCTCCCTTCCCTTTTCTCATCATCACTTTCTTCTAAAACTTGTTTTTAGGAGGCTAATGTGATATTTCCCAGGGAGAAGAAGGCAGCAAAAAGCAGCAGATGCCAACTGATCCCTCCGAGTATTTCTAGCAAGAAAAGCTATTTTTTTCAAGTAATTAGTAGGGTAATTTTATAATGGAATTAATTAATTGCAGCACTTAGCAGCTTGCAAAAAAAATTACAAGTGTAAGGATTTGTTTTATCTGTGGCTTGTAATGTCCAAATGGGCTTATAAAATGGAAATAAATTGCTTTACAAGAAAAATAATTGCAGGCACATCCTCGTCAAAAGGGAAAAGCTGTATGCATAAAGGGCCAGAATAAAATCTCCAGGCAAAAATGTGTTTCCCAGATGCAGGTTCTGGTCATATAAAGCCGTACAGTAGATGGTAGGGAGTTAGGCTGGCCATAGATACGCAGATGTCTTCCCAGCAATTACAGGTGGAAGACATCTGCTAGCCCCTTAAAGCTCAGGGACCGACCGAACACCACCTTGAGACTTGTCCAACAGCGGATACATGCTGAAGTAAGAAGAGGGAAGAATAGGCCTTTATATAGAGAGATTGTTCAACATGTCAGAAGTTGTGTGATAAGAATGACTAGTAGCATTTATCACCCCTCCTTTCTCTAGGGGTGACCCTAAATTACACTGTTGAATCAGGAGCAGGATCACCCAATTTCCATCTAATATAATACGAAGCAAAAAAGTCACTTCCTGTTTCTTATGCAAGGAAGAGTGACATCACTGAGATCTGTGAGTGTTAACATCCCATGGTTGCAATGTGGGTTTCTTTTGTGGGGCTTGAGTGCTTGGTAGTGGCTGCATTCCACCTACTAGAACCCCCACAGAAGGCTGGAGGGGGTTCTGGAGAAGTTGACTAGGACAAAAAAAACAGAGGTGGCACAAAATGAGTCCAAAGATGTTTTTATTGCAAGAAATGAAAGCATCAAAGTGTCAACGCATTCAGGGGCAAACACCGACCCCCTTCTTCAGGAGGTTCCCAATTGCTGACTGCTGCATGTGCTCTCGTATTTGTGGTCACTATCGTTGTAACTTTCCCTGAGGCCATTCCCCAAGGGAAATGTATAGTCTCATCGCACTCCTGACTGATAACTAGTGATGAGCTCCGGCGTGTTCGCAAGCGCCTGGTGCCGAGCCCGCCAGGAAGCCGTCAGCGCGCAGGGCCAATCACAGGCACTGAGCCATTTTCCGATCTATGCAGCTGCGGACCGGGAACATGTCTCAGTGCCTGTGATTGGCCCTGAGCGCTGACAGCTTCCTGGCGGCTCGGCACGAGGCGCTTGCGAACACGCCCGAGCTCATCACTACTGATAACAACCCGTGATCTTTGGGTGGGTGCTGCAGTTACTGAGAATGGAGCAGCGCGAAATCAGTAAAAGAAGCCCCTGACACACCAATATCCATTCTATCATTTAAAAGTCTTTTGGAACCAAATAGGTTTCTTTGTCAGGCAAACAAATTGTTTGCCTGATGAAGGAACCTCTTCAGTTCCAAAACATTGCCTTTCAATGTGATGATATGACTATCCAACATCAATAAAGATAGAATGGTAGAGCGGATATTGGTGTGCCGGTGATTTCTTCTTCTATTTTTCATTCCCCAAGGGATTCCCCTTGTGAATGACACCTGAAGCTGTGGTGAAGGGGGTCTGTGTTTGCTCCTGAAACATGTTAGATGCTTTTATTGTTACCAATAAGGACTCTTCCCCATTTGATGGCACTTTATTTCTCAACATTTTACTTCTCCTTTCTCCGATCTTCTTTATATAAAATCCACCTACAGGCATTAGATAGTGGATCCTAATGAACATTTGTCCTACAAACCATACACGTTCACAACATACCCATGAAGGAGGGAGTTTTGCAGGTGCTGGCTGTTTTGAGGGAATTGAGTAATTAGGTCAAAGTCTGCTAGTGTCACAGAGGGGCCACCACAAATTTGGATGTTCTCCAGTGTCAGTGGGCACGTTTATACTCTGCTTCTTTGTGGTCCCTTCTCAACCCCTCTGCTGTCTGTGATTCTCACTACTGCACACCCCTCCACTTTAGCACTTTCTCCTCAGCTTTCTTCTACTGGCTGTCTGCTCTGCGTCCATTCTTCCACTCATATCCTCAGAATGCTCACTTTCCTGATTTGTTCCTGTGCTTCAATGCAACCCTCAACACCAGTTCTCTCTCCAGCCCAAAGTCAGTGCTCTCCTCTATTCCTTCTCCCCAGTGTTTTCTCAGGGGTTCCTCTTCTGTGCTCTCAGTTCTTTCTGCTCAATGTTCTCAGAGCCTCCTTGGTGCCTTGTCCTCCACTGGCATCACTCCCCTCTTTTTCCAGTGTATTGATGTGCCAGATCTTCCAGAGCACATGATGTTGCAAGCACAGACACCTGAATAATGTCTGGAAGCCTCTGGCTTTCATGGTGCAGGCAGAATCCTAAGCATAAAGTGAAAATGCGCCTGATCTTTCTTTAAAGAGTTAAAATCCCATTGGATGTCCCAGCTTCTTCCCTACACCCCAATTCCTTTACTTGTTTGTGTGTCAGCTGATGCAGAAATCTGCACCTCTACTTTATACAATCCTGATCCAAACAGTCCTGATAACTCACTGTCATGTGTCTCTTCTCTACCTTTATTTCCTTCTCCACACATGTCCCCACTGTCTTTAGTGCCCCAAGATGAGATCCCAATGCTTTCTATCCCCCCC